TATATATTCAGACTTTTTGTATATATATTCAAAGATTAATTTCCTGAACGGCATGCCATAGTATATATATACTGTGTATATACTGTATATATATATATTCATTTCTGACTTATGCTTTCTTCTTTATTGTAATGATAGCATGTAATTTGAATTGTTATCATCTACAATGTCCCTGGTGTTTTACCCTTGATAGCTGATATCAGTTTAGTTAGAATAATCCTTCATTCTAATTTCAAGAGTTTTACTATTTAATTACACAACAACTGAAGGAAATATCATCCATCAAAATTACGGTCTAAGAAGGATTGTTCTTCAGTTAGAACAATCCTTCATTCTAATTTAGGAGTTTTACTATTTAATTACAAAACAACTGAAGGAAATATCATCCATCAAAATTACGGTCTAAAAGGTGGAGATGACTATATCAGAGCCTTTCACATGACGATGTGAAATTCTCCATCATATCTCTAATGAATGAGAATAAAATGATTTATCCAGGCTGGCACTGTTCAGCCAAATGTCAGGCTGCCTGTTGAAGCCTGAGAAGGCTTCATAACACCTCCAAAGCTCACACCCACTCACATTCTGTTCTGGAAAGCAATTATGTGCGAATGCATGAGCTCCGACAACACATAAACACGCACTATAGAGAAATATGCACCACTCCAACTGCCACTGTATGGTCTGTATCAATATATTGTATAAATTGATATATTTTATTTTATTTTTCATTGGGTTGTAATGGTCTTGATAAACACAGTCAGCATCACTTTGTGGTTCTTGATGGTTGCTTAGAGGTTGCCTTGATTACTCTGACTGTTTTAAGTGCGTATGTACCAAATGATAGTAAAACATGTTCATCCTTTCTAAGTCTATAGTTTCGCTTATTACCCTGAATGCCTATGTGGATGACTTTTTTTTCTTTTTTTGTCACTGATTTAGAGTCATTGTGATTGCACAGAAGTGGTGTTAACTTTGTTTGTTTATAACCAATACTGGTCACATGCACAGGTGCACACCTGATGTCTATCAAGTCAGGATATAGTGTAGACATATCACAGCCTGGTAACAAAGTGGACTCAGATGGCAAGATCCCAGTTGAATGTGGCAGGCCCAACTGAATAGTGAGGATTTGTGGGGAACATATGGTTTCCTGGAGAAGTGGAATACTAGAAGTACATCTTTGAAGTCATGATACAGTGCTTCAGAAAACACTATGTCGTGGCTTCATTCATTTAGCCTGAGTCACATGACCAATGACGTGTAAAAGTGACATAAAAATCTAAAAGGTCATATATTGTGCTCTTAATTAAGAGTGGTGTAGTCGGAGAATCCACGCTTGACATCTAGAGAATCAGAGTTCGAGATTTACCTTGGTTTCAAAGGAAACCAGTCAGTGATAATGACAATATGGCTAATGTTAGTCAGTGATATTAATTCCAAATGTTCAAGCGCTTTTTTTTTTCGCTCCATGGAGGAAAATAATTGTTCCTCAGTTACAGGTGAATTAATCAATTGGTATTGCTATCAATTGGTACACCAAGAAAAAGCCAGACAACGCCACCTAATGCTTACAAAATAAAAAAAACAAGACTAAAACAAATTAACTTCTTTTCACTAAACAGGTCAAACTCTGAACCACAGACTCTTAGAGTACCCAGCAGGACTGTTTTGTTACAGCCACTCTAAACGATTCCTCTGTCAGCATACTACCTCTGTGACAGCATGCATTAGCAGTTGTGTTGATAACATTGTGGCCAACACAAGAGTCAGGAAGTTCCTCAACCAGAAGCCCTGGGTCAACAGTCAGGTAAAAGATCTGTGTACCTGCTCCCTTGCTTTTAAATCAGGGAGTACAAAGCTGCGAGGTACGGACAGAGGAAAGCCATCACAGTAGCCAGGAGGCAGTATAGAAAGTAGCTGGACAACTTCTACAGCACTGCTGACCACTCAACACCTCTGCCCTCCCCAAAACAGTTTCAGGCTAGGCGCTCAGAGTACTGAGGTGGATTAAACTCCACAAGGCACGAAGACCAGGCAACCTCCCGGGACAAGCCTTTTGAGCATGTGCTGACAAACTGGCTCACGTTCTCACCTCCATATTCAAACTCTTTCTCAGCCAATGCATTGTTCCCACCTGCTTCAAAACAACAACCATTGCTTCACTTCCTATAAAAAGCCCACCCACTTGTCTGGACGACTGGAGGTCAGAAGCACTTACTCCAATCATAGCAAAATGTTTTGAGGGAGTTGTGATGACCCACCCTACAGCTCAGCCTTCAATACAGTTATACCACAGAAATTCACCCACAAGCTGTACACATCCCACACCCCACCCTTTGCGACTGGCCCCTAGAATTTGTGACTAGCATGCCCCACTCCGTCCGGATTGGTACAAGGACTTCAGCCAGCATCATCACCAACACTGACACCCCCAGTATGTGTCCCTACTACCATCCTCTACACCATGTTCACACATGACTGTGTCGCCTCCCACAAGAACAACATCATCCTGAAGTTGCAGATCACACAGCAGTGAATAATCGTATCACCGAGGGTGGAAAGCCTACAGCCAAGGCCTACAGAAGAAAGGTAGCAGGTCTACCTTTGGCATGACGCCAAACAAGGATCCTTCATATCTTCTTTAGCTGTGTCGTTGGGAGCACCGCTGCATCACAGAGTGGTACAGCAGCACTACTGCTGCAAGCAAAAGTCGCAGGGAGTAGTCAAGACTGCTGAGAGGATAATCAGGACACCCCTGCCCTGACTGCAGAGCATCCCCACCACCAAAAAGTCCACACAAGAGCAGCCTCCATTCCCAAAGGCCCCAAACACGGACTGTTACCACTTCTACCCTTAGGCCGCAGGTACAGATATGTGAACTACAAAACAACCATATTTAAAAATTATTTCTTCACCTTTGCTATGAGACTTCTGAACAGTTAAAGTTGAAGAGATGACACGAAGAGACATGACACATGCACACGTCAGAATTTTGTACTTCTCTTTACGTCTTTGGTTTTGCTGTGTAACGTACCTTTGAACTTGCACACTTCATAATAATTGCTTATTTCACATCAAACTGTTTTGTATATATTAGATACCTCATTTCAGAATCTTGAAGCTCCGTATGTTGGAATATTGGAACAAAACTTCCTTAATAAATGTGTGGAAGAAGGTGACATAACCAAGAAACGTGGTAAGACAAGGATACCGTATACCGTGGAACTGCTGTATTTAGAGTTTTGGTGAGATTGTAAGTGTACTGATGTGATGCAGATATTGAAGATGGTGTTGAAAAAGAAATCTGTCTGAGACTAGTAAAGCTCAAAACTAATTCTCCTAATCTTGAAGACACTGCAAAGTAATACCTCAATTACCTCAGTGTTGCATTGGTCATAGGTGTATCACTATCATACCCTTCAGTATCTACTGTAGCCACACATCTTTGCTCTGTTGAAAATAGTCCCTTTTGCAGTGTGTTACAGGGGCTCTATCTTTAGACCAGCGATGCTCGAGAAAATGCTCTTCCACTCTAGTTGTCATGGTAACAGCTCCTGGGGAACATGAGTGAGTTCATTTAGAATAAGAGAAATACTATGAAATGGCTGTGTAGTCTTTAATGAATGCAAAAACATATTTCCAGGATAAAAAATGAACATTTGTTTACATGCACCGTTATTTCTGGACTATAAGCCAGTACTTTTTCACAAACTTTGAACCCTTAAACGATAATGCGGCTAATATATGGATTTTTACGGGCTAGCAAAATTCATACCGGTAGCGATCAATAAATGATTCTATGCTAAACTAAAGACATCCTGTGTGGCCTCCATGTTAACTGATTTTTCTGTGTTTTATGTCCACTTTCGAGGGTTTCCTGTCTCCTGATTTAACTTCCGTGCTTTTGATACACTCTCACAGTAATATTTGGATCACCCTTATTAGTGATGGGAGGTTCGATGTTGTTGTACCGTAATTCAATACCCACACAAGTATTGATTCAGTATCGACTGTGCTCATAAAATGTTGATACAAATAATGAAATAATCAAAAGCGCATGTATCACTTTTATATTTCATATTGTACCTTACTTCATACAGGTAATGCAACACTCTGTGGTAAAATATTGTTCATAATACTAATAGTTTATGTAGGATAGAGTGTTCTGTCCATATGCCCATGGTAGGTAATAATTTGTATGTGTTGGTTTCCTATGGAAATGATCCAAAGATGTCAAGCTAAAACTACACTTAGATTGTTTGATTACAAAAAAAAAACTCTAATTTTTTTTAAGTATATCAACCCAAACATCTGATTTTAATTAATCTCTGCATTAACATATTGGTGCATAAAATAATTACCATTTTATAAAAACAACACTCCACATCCCTTATAACCACAACTCACTCTAACTCTAACACATACCACAACTCCCAGCATGCAATGTGAGAGAGAGTGATAGAGAGAGAGAGAGAGAGACCTGGATCTCCGTCTGCCTACACAATCTCCCATTACAGCTCTTCGCTCAGTAATGTGACAACAGCTGTGAACTGAAGCTCCATCTCACACTCTGTATTCTTTGCTAACTGGCTCAGGAATTGACATTCACAGCTTGCTGCCGGTGAGTAGACTTCTCCATCACATTAAGTCAATTATTTGTCTGAAAGGATTGCAGGAGTGGAGATGATTTACTGCTCGATTCCCATCACTTTGAAAGAGAAAAAAAAAAAGCAATTTGTATATTTAAGTCGTGTGTGCAATCGTATATTGGTAAATTGTTGTTGTTGTTTTACTGACAGGGCTCCCAAAATAAGTCAAAAAACTTTTGGGGGAAAAAAAACGACAACAACAAAAACTGTAAATCTAACAGAACAATGTTAATACTGCAGTGAAAAAAATAGTGTGGATTCAAAGCACCAAAAAAATATATCTAGAACTGTAGCCATATAGAGAACAATGACTTTCACACTTTTATTATGTTTTCATTGAATGTAACACAATTATACAATATATACTATATATATATATATAATTATATCTGTATATTTCATTCTCTATCTATCTATCTATCTATCTATCTATCTATCTATCTATCTATCTATCTATCTATCTATCTATCTATCTATCTATCTATCTATCCATCTTAATGGCCACAGTATGTTTTTAAGTCCCCAACCTTTTGTGAAACTGATTTTTCCACGAATTGGTTTTTCACAGAGGGAGTGGTTTTTCACACTGAGCTACGAGGGTCTCTTGACTCTATAATCCTTTGACCTATCACTTAACTGGTCTTTAACCTGTCACTTGTTTCTTAAGCTGTCAGTTGTTTGTATGTTCTTACCAAAGGTCTGGCACACATTCACATAGAGAGATTGACGACCCTACGAAGGAGCACTAAAGTTATGAAATGATGATGTGATGTGTAGCATTTTCAATGCTTTTGAATACATATGAAATACATTTTTTAATGGTACTGTCTGCTAATTGCACATGGACATGTGTCCGTTTTCATTTCAAAAATGTCAAATGCAATGGGTTGGAAGATATCACTTTAAACTTCATATTGCGAAACCAAAGTATTTTTCATTGTTAGTACAGAACACTTTTCAGCCTTTAAAGGGTGTGATGCATGTTTGGTGTGTTCTGCTGTCACTTGAAGTTATTGGAGAATATATAGTTTGCATTACATTGTAATTGTAAAAAGGTGATAAAATTCAGAATTTAAGTCAAATAATGTTATGCCTCTGTAGTCCCCAATACTTGACTTAAAGCTACATAAATTAACAATTTTAATCATTAAAGCTACATAAATTAACAATTTTAAACAAACGAACTCAGACACATGCATTTTTTTTACTATGTACTACTACTTATTAATAAACAGAGAATTACCAGTCGAGCTTTTTTTTTTTTTTTTTACTATGTACTACCACTTATTAATAAACAAAGAATTACCAGTCGAGCTTCATCTCTGGAACGCTGTGTTGATATTCAATCCCTTTTAGGACATTTTGCTTATCGCCCTTTTTCAGTTTTTCCATCGTGGTGTATTTAAAGTGTACAACAGTAGGAGGTTGTCGGTGCTGAGGTAGCATTCTGTATGCAAAGGAATTTCAGATCATGTATGTAAAAAACAGGGAGAACACCTGTTTAGCTTTTTCAAATTGCAGTTTGAAGTTTTCAATGTCAACCAGTGATAGCCAGGGATTGGTGTCCAAAGAGTACGAGAGAGAGACCAAACATCATCTTACTTGTACTTATGAAAGCACACTTTAAAAGTGCTAAAATACTTTGTAGAGCCAAAAGAAATGCTATTGTGTGTACTGTGTAATGTCAGGTGTAAACAAGAGACAGCTTTATTTGGCTACCACAAAACAAACAACAGTTACACTTAAGTAGCTAGTGTCTGTCTGCTCTTCATTAGCTTAAGTATAATATATATTTAACTGGGGATGTCCGATATTTACTTTTTGCCGATATTGTTGCTGATATTGTCCAAACCCATTATTTCCGATTCTGGTATCGGCCGATACCAAAAAATATGAGGCTGTTTTTCCACAAATAATATTTTTAGGTCACATTACATACGTATTTCCTGTAGTGGAATTAATACATTATCTGCTTTTATTGTGATGCCCCACTAGAGGCATTCCTCAAATTAACATTGTCTGGACAAAATATATTATTATAGAAAACCCAGACATTGCATTATCAGGTTTTCATTATCGGAGGAAAACCCGATAATGATTTTTACCGTTATTACATAATTATGCTAATATCGGGCTGATAATATTGGTTGGCTTTTATATTGGATATTACTGGACATCACTAATTGTAACCTGTCTGTATGTGTGGTAATTTTGGTAACAAAAGTAAATGTAACTTTGAAAGCTGAATCCTTCATCTTAAAGAACATAAAAGTCTGAGCAGCATCACAATTACATATCAGTACAAAACACAAGTTTGTCTCTTCAGCAAAATGTAAAAATACAGAAATCCATTGCAGTTTTACGCCTTTTAATCTACCAGAGTTCAGATTAGAAGCAGAGGACGTGGGATTAGACCTCATTAGGAGTTAAGACGGCCAGACAGACAGGGGAATTAAGGTTGACTTTATTTTCAACTGTATACTTCACTCGTAGGTAATCAAGAACCAAAGTTAGAAATTTAAATAAAATATAATATCAACTACACTTCTACACAATCCAAGGTATTTTAATGCAGATTCGATTTAGAGAAATAAATAAATAAATTGTAAGTTTGTTCATATTCACATTTTCATATTTTTGTTAATACTCTTTATTTTTTCCTTTACTTTTCATTCTAATTGGACTTGAGCTCCTGATCAGTTGGCACCACTTTTTGCCTTTTAAAAAGTATGAGTTATTGTCAATGATGAGAGCAATTTTAAGACAGACAATGAGGCATTGGACAAATATAAGACAAAACACCACCTGAATTTTTACCTCCCCAACATACAATAATACAATATAGTTTTATATTACCCAACATACAATAATACAATATAGTTTTTCCGAAATATAGATGGATAGATGAATGGATAGATAGATAGACAGATAGATAGATAGATTGATAGATGAATAGATGGATGATAGATAGATAGATTGATAGATGAATAGATGGATGATAGATAGATAGATTGATAGATGAATAGATGGATGATAGATAGATAGATGACAGATAGATAGATAGAAAGACAGAAAGACAGACAGACAGACAGGTAGATAGATAGATAGATGACAGATAGATAGATAGATGACAGATAGATAGATAGATGATAGATAGATAGATTGATTGATTGATTGATTGATAGTTAGATAGAAAGATTTCCATGTGTTGTTTTATCAAGAACACCTTGGCTGGTTCTACACAAAAATTGTGTGGCAATGATTTCATATTGTATAATCAGCCCCATTGGACTATGTGCATCACCATTGTGTATTCTGATGCCATAGCAATCAAGGGCTTAAATAAAAAAAAAACGTATTCAGAAGCAGTAATCCATCCTCTGCCAATGTTGTGCACATAATTCTATTAGATTTTAATTTAGACTCTGCTCGGCTTCAAAATTATTTTTGGGTCGTCTTGCATCATGTTTCCCAGGAGTGTACGAATAATGTCTATTGACTTGGGATGGAAGGTTTGTGACTTTTTAAAAAATGTAATTTTAATAAATATTTTTTTTGTAATGTATTTGTTGTGAATACATTTTTGAAGTGCAATTCATATTTATTTACCTTTTTTGACTTTTTATGCACTATTGGACTAACATATTTTCAGTTTCTTTAAACAAAAAATACAACAGAAAAATAATAAGGAGAGGAAATATAAGGACAAAAAATAACAAAACATATTTCAATAACTAGTAAATGCAAGTAAATGGTCGGGATTTAAAAAAAATCTTGATTTTATTTTTTTTCTTTTGTCTAAATTCTAGAGAAAGGTTCATATTGTCACATTGAATATGTGCCTTGAACTGTACATGGTGTGTCTTTATTTTATCACAGGAAGGGAAAATGTCCAGTCCAAGACCCAAGCTTGGAACTGTCTTAAACAGTAAAAACACGTTAGAACAGAGATTCCCAAAGTGGGGGGCCCGTCCCCTAGGGAGGATGGAATGAATGAATGAAACCTAACGGAGCATATAATTAACATTAATGCTGTAAATGCTAAAGAGACTGGCAAAAAAAACAAAAAAAACAAAAAAAACGAAGAACCTCAAGAGACTGGCAAAAAAAAAAAAAAACGAAGAATCTCAATACTGGTAGGACTAGCACAAAATGAACAGGTATTTGACAGAACTCCCATCTAAACACAAAGCAGAGGATGAAGCATTGGTTTGTATGTGTGTCCTGTGTTATTTTTTTTTTTTTTTTTGGGAGGGGTCAGGGAGGTGAAAATTTTTTCATTAACCAAAGAGACATCCTATTGTGTTCTCAAGTTAGCCATTCACTGGTTTTACCTGTAACTGCGATCTCTGTTTTTTATGAAATATCACATAATGATTTACTTACCAAGGACTTTCAAAGACTTCTGGATTCCTCCTCATTTCACTTGAACAATATGGCTGCCTACACATCAAAAAGCTTTGCGAGCCTTTTCCAAATGACTGAAGGTTGCTGGAAGTTTCCCCACCATTAACTGTCATTCTGCCACAATGTGTCACCTGCTGCAAACTCTGAGTCATGGAAACGGCAGCCTCACAGTGCTTCTATTTTCAGCCGTGCTAGGTCAAACCCACATAGTGGCAACAGGTGGCCACCTTGCTGGCAGAGTCCTGTCAGTATTGTCCTTTGAATGTCTATTTTGGTGAATCCAAGCTTAAGAGTATATTTGGAATGTCTTAGAGACAACACGAGGTAAAACACACAAAACAGTATACATAATATGTATTTACATACATTCTATCTGAGAATAGAATATATTTTATTGTATTCTATAACCATAACCTCTACATGAGTCATCATGTTGTATAGTGGATTTCATGGAGAACAGGGCTGCCCCTATAAATTTCACTTAATTTAACATCTTCGGCAGACTATAGTGTCTTCAGACTGCATCTGCATATCCATCACTTAGGACAGAGGTTGCCTGCGGGTGGGGCGTGCCCTTTATGTGGGGCACAGTGTCATTGCAGGGGTAGGGGTGGAATGAATTAATGAAACAAAATGCAGCATATTGTTAAAAACAATTTCACAAAAAACATACCTTCAGGTTTATGTTTTTTTCCACTTATGTTTTATAACCCTTTTTTGCAGAGAGGCAATATTTGAATAAAAAAAGTATGATTAATGGCAACATTGAATGTTAAAAGATAACCTGTTACACTGGACATTCTGAAAACAAAATGTGTGTGTGTGTATATGTTTTTCTGTATTGGGTTAAGGGGCACATAAATGTTCTTATGAACTAAAAGGGGGCTCAGCAGAGAAATAAATCCATAACAAAAACACCATAATACATCATTGTCAGAGTTTTTGAACCAGAGCTCAGGTCGTGTAATGCTATGCTAGCAGGTGTGCACGGATGGCTGGTTGCCTCCAGTTCTTATAGACAGTTCTTAGTGTTATATTACAGTTTTCTTAGATTTATTGTAAAAACATGTTCACTAATCACTCAACCTGCTTTTCTGATTGTTTGCTGTAGGGCATCATGGAGGAAGCTGATCTATTAAAGGAGCGGCTACAAATCATTACAGTAAGTACATGCAACACAGCTGATGTTTTGCACTGATTTTAACTGTCTATTTAGATCAGGGGTGTCAAACTCATTTTCACCAGGGGGCCACATCAGCAATATAGTTCTCCTTGAAGGGCCAGTTGTAACTGTATCACTCAATTGATTATTATTTATTCAAGTTACTAACATTCTACATTGCTCTGTTTATTTAAAAAATGTATAGTTTATCAAGTTAAGAAACTCAGCAGTTTGGACTTTATTATGAGGTAATTAAGCACTTTTTAACCCCTGTGGCCTCACAAAATGACTTGACAGGCCACATTTCGCCCTTGGGCCTTGATTTTAACACATATAATTTAGATAGCCTTGTATCTCTAATAGATTAAAATGTGTAATTTTAATCCTTGATTTACCTTGTAGATTTTGTATATTTCATGGATGGTTCCATGTTTCTATTTTGACCCATCTATGGCACTTGCAATTACAAACAGTCAAGAGACTTAAATAAAATGACGATATAGTATGTCATATTGTAATGCAGGATGATTAAAATGATGCAACATATTCAAAAGACCATGGATATGCTGTAAAGCAAACATTATTAGTAAAAGGATTGATGGTAGAAATACCGGTGAATCACTAGGATTAATCTTACCCTGGCTGTTAACCTGATCAGGAGCATGTGGGCAGCAAAAAACATATCACCATAGTAACAAGGCCCGGTTAGCTTTTTCTTGCTTCTTCATGAAGTCGAACTTCAGAATAAGCCAGGATAAGTAACACAACCCAGCTTAATCCCTTATTTTGGTTTTGTGCAACCCCCTGCCTCCTGCTGGTCACACTTAACGTATGGACTCAAGGACTCAAGGTTCTTTATTGTCATTGCAACACGTTAGACATAGGATGAACATTATTAGTTTCCCTGGTCCTGGATCGAGTACAAGTGACAGAGGGTAAGAGTTTGGCATAGTGCAGCAAGAAGAGAAAGTGACCATTGTGCATGAGTGAAAGACAAGAACAAGAACAAGAACAACAACACTTGTCAGGGCAACAAGAGCAACATGTGTGTGCAGGCCACCACATATTTTCTGTTGTGAGGTGGTTGTAGGGGGGAGGGGTATTGGCAGAGTCAATGTGGGGAAAGGGGAGGGTTACAGGGGTCCACCGGAGTTCAACAGTCTCACAGCTTCAGGGAAGAAGCTGTTCCTCAGTCTGGTGGTCCTGCTTTTGGTGCTCCGTAGCCATCTTCCTGAGGGGAGGCAGGCAAACAGTGCATTTGCGGGGTGGGTGGAGACCACTTCCTCCGCTGTCCCTCTAATGTGCAGGGGAGGGGTGTCTCCCCCTTCTGAAGTTGATGATCATCTCCTTGGTCTTCTTCACATTGATGCAGAGCATAGACAACATAGACAACAGGGTTGTCAAAGAGGCATACAGAGTCACCGCCCTGCCCTCATTGGGCAAGTCTGACCACAACGTAGTTCACATCCAGCCAGAGTCCAAAGGCAACCAATCATCAAACGCTCCATCAGGAGATGGACTCCTGAAGCTGAGTTCAAACAGAGAGACACCACAGACTGGGATGTGCTGGATGAGTCCAGACGAGGACATCAAAGGTGTTACCCACCGCCTAACGGATGATCTTAATTTTTGTTTAGATGTGGTTGCCCCTGCAAAGACTGTACGGCGTTACCCTAATAATAAACCATAGGTAACACAGGAAGTCAAAGCTGTCCTCAACAGAAAGGAGACTTCAGGAGAAACAACAGGGAGATGAGAGCATCTCATCTGCTCCCTGATGAGATGCTCATCTCAGTGGACCCCTGGCTTGCTGCCTAAGGGGATGTAAAAGACATCTACAGGAGAAAGGTAGAGGAGCAGCTGCAACAGAACAACACGAGGGAGGTATGGGATGGTGTGAGAACCATCACAGGCCACAAAGCTAAAGTCAGCTCAGAGGAGGGGGGCCCCTTTGCCGGCACTAATACCAATTCCAACCTTCCCGTCTCTACTCTTCTCCTCCACCACCACCCCTCAACACCTCCTCCCCTCCTTCTTTTCTCCCTTGATCTCCTGTCCGTTCCCCTCATCACACCGCGCTTCCCCTTTTTCCTTCCTCTCCCATCCCCTCTCCTCCCTTCATCACATCCCCATCCCTGCTGACCTATTCAGGAAAGAACTGAGGAAACACTAACCTAGGAAGGCAGCCAGCCTGGACAAGGTGTGTGCACGGCTACTGAAGACCTGTGTTACTAAACTAGGGGAGCCACTCCAAGAGATCTAGAAACATAGTCTTCGACTAGGGAGAGTGCCAGCCATCTGGAAGATGTCATGCATCATTCAAGTTCGCAAAAAAGAACCGATCCAGTGAGCTGAACGACTTCTAGCTGGTGGCACTCACATCACATCTGATAAGACTATGGTGCAGATCTTCCTCAGCTTCCTCAGGCCTGAGGTGCAGTATGCCCAGGACAACCTACAGTTTGTCTACAGAGCTGAGGTTGAGGTAGAGGATACTATCCTCTACTTCCTGCACCAAGCTCACTTACATCTGGACAGGAGGAGTGGTGCTGTGAGAATCCTCTGCCTGGATTTTTCTAGCGCTTTCAACACCATCCAGCCACTTGCACTCCTGGATAAACTGATTCGAATGCAAGTGGACCCCTGGCTTGTTGCTAGGATTTCCAGCCACCTCATAGACAGACCACAGTATGTAAGGCTGAATGACATCACGTCTGACACCGAGGCAGCAACAACTCAGGGGACGGTGCTGCCTGCTCTCCTCTTCCCCCCATTGCCTCTGACGTCTGGTACAACTCCGAGCTGTGTTACATCCATAAATTTGCAGATGAAACAGCCATCTTGGGGGTATTAGGAACAACAACGAGGAGTGCAGGCGCCTCATGAGGAACTTTGTTGCCTGGTGTAAATCAAATCAGCTCAACACCTCCAAGACCAAGGAGATGGTCGTAGACTTTGGGAAATCCAAACTCAAACCAAGACCAGTTCCCATCAAGTGTCAGGAGGTGGAGGTCGTGGAGACCTATGTATACCTTGGGCTGTGGCTGGACAATAAGCTGGACTGGGCAGACAGTAGGCAGCTTTATAAGAAGGCCCAGAGTAGATTGTACAGATACTCAGGTCTTTCAACGTAGACAGTAGATTCCTGAAAATGTTTCACCACTCTGTGGTTGCCAGCGTCATTTCATGCACTGTCATGTGCTAAGGGGAACAGCACACCACATCAAAAAAAGACTTACACATACTGGAAAAGCTGATCAGGAAGTCTGGCTCTGTGTTGAAAACCTAACTGGGAACAGCACACCACATCAAAAAAAGACTTACACATACTGGAAAAGCTGATCAGGAAGTCTGGCTCTGTGTTGAAAACCTAACTGGACCCTCTGGTGACAGTGGCAAAAAAAGAGAACACCTGGCAAACTGCTCGCCATTCTGGACAATGGCGACCCTCTGGTGACAGTGGCAAAAAAAGCCATTTTGGACAATGGAAATCAGATGAGTCTGAACTCAAAATCTCCTGTCCACCGGGCAATTAAACTTTTCAACTCTTCACCGGAATATATCTATTTTCTAAGTACATGTTTATGTATATTTGTATATATATGCTTATACACATATGCAAGTATGTGTGTATATAAAAGTGTATATATAAATATATATATATATATATATATATATATATATATATATATGAATATTAGGGGTATATATTTGTATGTATGTATATATGTTTGTCTGTGTATGTCAGTGGATGTGTATATACAGTGCTCAGCATAAATGAGTACACCACATTTAAAAAGTCTTGTGTCACGGGAAACAGTCACTCCAGTTTGGCTTTTTACCTCTTAAGCTAACTGCAGTGAACTTGCATAGTGATTTTTGTTCACCTTTTCTCATCAGAACATGCTTCATGTTGAGATGTTGGTTGTGCTTCCATCTTTCTTAAATTTTTGGGTCACTTTTGCAACAGTATTCATTTTTTAAGTAAAGTAAAGTAAAGTTTAAGTTGAAACATTTGCATCTGCGTCACCAGAGTAAGCAGCTGGTGGACTCAAACCTGAAACTTTCTGGACCCAAGTCCGCTTTCTAGTGGTTAACCAAGCCACTACTACCCTGAGTGATGTTTAAAGCTTTTCTGATTTTCTTGTAGCCCCTTCTAAAGAAATTATTTTCTTTCATGGATTTTTGGGACATTTCTCTTCCATAGGAGTGAAATTTCTTTGTTAAATTATGCCCTTTTTATAATCAAATGCCAGGTGGACACCTCTTAAGTAAATAATTAGAATCTACTGTGGTTTATATCTTGCTTATTAGAATTGTATAGTCTTAAGTTTGGCTTTTGTCCAAAGACTCATTTTTGCAAATGGGGTTGAATCAGTTTGTTAGGAAAAAAGTTTTGTTTCGTGAAAGCAAAGTAACACATCTTGCTTGCAGTCAATGGTCGACATTTGGGGCAATGTTTTGTAGTGTATTGTTCCATAGTAAATGTTGATTCCGTATGGAAACTAAAGGTTTTCTGATGAATCTGCAGGGTGTACTCATTGCTGAGCACTGTATGCATATACACATATAATACATCTATGTATGTCATACATATCTAATGTTATGTATAGTATTATCCTGGAAATATTATGCATAGTACTATCCTGTAAATCCTACAAAAATATGGTTATACACTTTTTGAAGCATTATACCTTACTGAAATTGTCTATATTTGTCAGGTCTGTCTGTTTCCTGTTCCTGCTGTCTGCTGTGTCGGGTAATCTGTGTTATCACACTCACCTGTGTGTCTGCAATTAGCCTCACTTGTGTCACCTGGTGCTCCCTGGATATATACCTCTCTCCCTCACTCTGGCCTTGTGGGATCATTGTGCGATGTGTGTTTGCTGTCTTTGTGTGCGCTGTACACTCTCGTCTGTGCCAGCGTTGTGTCGAGCATTTTCTTGTAGCTGTTCCTAGTCTGTTACTGGGCAAGTTTGTTCCTGTTCTCAGCTCTGCTCAACTTTGCGTACGCTTCTTTCCTGGTTTTTGGATTTTTGAGTTTTGAAATAAACTACCTGCACCAGCCTCCTGCATTTGGGTCCTGCCTGCTTCCTGCCATGTCGATGCCCACACGTGACAATATTCAAAACTGTTTATTTTAATTATTTAATTACTTAAACTGTTTGTATTACTAAACTATTAGTATACTATACTATGTGCTTGCTCAAGTAACTGCTTTTATAGATATAGTTATTTTGCTTATATATACATATACATACCATATAGATAATGTGGTATATTTAAAAATATAATATAATTATTTACTAATATACTACAACTTATACTACTAATCTATGAATATCCACTGTTATTAGTAGATTATATCTATCTATCTATCTATCTATCTATCTATCTATCTATCTATCTATCTATCTATCTATCTATCTATCTATCTATCTATCTATCTATCTGTCATTGTAGCTTGATTGCTAAATGCATAAATGTAAAATTAAATGTAAAAATTATTGCCTTGCCCAATACATACCCAATCCACCCCACCAATACCCTGACATTAATTAAATGAATGATTCTTTGAATTTGTTACAAGATATGACAAAGAACAGGGTGACTAAAAAACATAAACAAATACAACAGTTCTACTTTGTAAGAATAATATTTTTGACATTCCCCTGCAGGAAAAAAGAAGAATCCAAGAGGACATTGCCAAGAAAAGAAGAGAGATAGAAGAGGAGAAACTGAAATTGCAGTACATCAAGGTATTTATGGTAGCGGTTTGTGTCACTTGTTTACCATTTAAACAAGTGACACAAACCACTATTCTATAGAACCAACAAATGTGCGGACACATCCATTCCATGAGCAATTCCTAGAGCCCTTTAGTGGTCCCACTATGTGGACATTTTACAGAAAGTGACTTGCATTGGCCAGGAATCAAACTCGGGCCTCCTACATGGCACACAAGAATTTCACCACTGAACAACCAATGCTTGTGATGAAAGAAAAGAAAATCGCACAAATGGGGCTCGAATCCACGACCATGGTATAAAGAGTCCCATGCGCTACTGATTAAGCTAGCTAGCCTTGTCAATGTCTCAGTCAAAACATTTTTTAGAATCAACTGTAGTTCTTTGGTGAAAGTGTGAGTCTTTGCAACTCACACAGGAGTTTCCATTAATTCCATTAATTCGGTTCTTCCCAGGCTCAAACTGAAGGCTTGCTGTTTGTAAGGCAGATGCTCCCACCTAGTGCACCCACCAGGAATTTTACTCGTGCTTTTTGAGCTTTAGTGTTTCAACAACAAGAGAAAATGGACAATAAGTCACTTTAAGAGGATAACAATAAAGAAGCAATGTACATATATACACACATACGTATGTATTTGGGACAAATATATATACATATGCATTTTCTTTCATATGAAAAGAAGTTGCAGACCTTGCCCAAGAATGCATGGATCAACCCACCAGATCTTCAATTGACAGACTGAAGTTACTCAACTGCAGTATGCTAACGAGAACATTTTTGTAGACACAATGAAACAATGTGTGGATATATGTCAGATATATGTATAGATATATGTCAGTATTGTAGTCCAACATATTTACTGTCAATGTGCATTCTTTGCTGGCATATCAACATCAGAATTTATGATTTATGAATTCTATAATTTTTAATGGAAATGTAATACATTATTGTTATTAGTTATTTAATAACTATTCTCTAAAATAATATTTTTATTTATTAGAGGTGTGGTCTTATACCAGACCTTTTATTCAGCTCTTTCCACCATATGTTGCAGTGTCACAAAATCCCCAGTTTCACAAGTGCTCTTGTATCCCAAATTTACAGTAATAAAGCGGTTCCTTTGCAATAATATTTTAATATTGTACATTTTTTCAAACCAAGGTTTATGTTTACCTTAAAACTGAAACGGGCGGCATCCGGCTATCTGGCCGTAGTTTGCCCATGCCTGGTCTACAGGGTAACTGAGATTGTATTAGACCAAACATACACTTTTAAATGCTTCAAGCATAGCAACATAGTTTCATTCACTATAATTAAAAAGATTAACTGATATCTTTTTAGATATACTAAAAATAAGTTAACACACTTACTAGATCTTCTAATCCACTGATTGACAAGTTAACAATGAGGCTGATTGCCTAAGTACTTTAGTATTGTTTCTGTGGAACTAGCATTGTTTGGGTGAAGTGCAACCAGCAGCAGCCTCTGGTTTAAGTAATGTCATGTCAGAAAAAATTGACTCTATAGAGACCTACAATAGTAACCAGCAGTATTTAGGTTTTTTAGAGCATCATTTGAAAGGTCAGCATAAGCTCAAGAGGCAATGTAGAGACATCCTTTGAAGTGTAACAAAGATTGATGATGCTGAGCTAAAAGAAAATAACTGAATACCAAAATGTAGACAAATGCATCAGGCAGGTTAGGACAACATATACTGATGTTTTTTGTGTGCTGGTGTGAATAACCAACAGAAGAAAGCTGTACGGGAGCAGTGGCTGATGGATGGCCTTACTCAGCAGTCCGAACAGGAACAGGAAGCCATGAGGTTACAGGCTCAGGATGAACAGCGACAGAGTGACATGCTGCAGAGTAACATTATCAGGTAAGCTGCTGCGAACACATCAAAAATGAATATTAAATGTCAACACTACATCTTATACTGACTTGTATACTCATTTCTGTCCTAGTGCCCTGTGTGTGAAATAAATAAACTCCTATTTAAGTATATGAGAAATGCAGGTTTTGAAAAAACACACATAAACTCGAGAGTTTGGATTTCTTTTGTTTTGTTCTGTTATTAATTGTTATGCTAAACAGGTGTAATACTTTTAACAAGCTCCAATATACATCCAAGTCAAGACTGAAAAGTGTCAAGTCAAGTCCCATGTCCTGCCGTTTCTATTTTGAGTCCTTTCGAGTCCTTTTAAACAAAATAATAATATATTTACACAGATCACTTTGGCTTTTGGAGAAATTATCAAGTCTTGTCGAGTCTCAAGTCCCAAGTGAAGTCACGAGTCATTGATGTTAGAGTCCAAGTCGAGTTGCAAGTCTCTTTACATTTTGTCAAGTGGAGTCTAAAGTCATCAAATTGATGACTCGAGTCTGACTCGAGTCCAAGTCATGCGACTCGAGTCCACACCTCTGCAAAAGAGACATAGACATTTTTAATCGGTCTCTTATAGCTTACTGAGGTGTTTTAAAAAAAAACCTCAGTAAGCTATAAGAGACCGATGATGAGTGATGATTGTTTGATTTATTGTTCCAATAAATTCAGTGTTTTCTTGTTGTATTCAGAAAAGAGGAGGAGATTCAGTTTCTGGAGGCTCAGGAGATCAGCATTTGTGTCACTGAAGAAAACATTCTGAAGCTGTTAAAAGAGGTGGAGAGAACGCCAGATGACATAATCAAGGTAGGATGAAATCAATATTTTAATCATTCTTGTAGTTATTTATATCCCCCGGGCTGTAGTTATATATATATATATATATATATATATA